ATGTAGCTCTGTGTAATCCATCAAAGTGATTGGGGTTGCCACCTTTCTTGGGAAAAAATACTGGCCATGCTAATTTGCATAATTAATTATGTATGAGTGACATCACAGGTTGTAAATCACAAGGAGTGACATAAGAGAAAATTCAGTATCTCCCTGGACTGAAAAGGAAGGGAGGGCATGACTGCAGGCCAGCAGTAATGGGGGGGAAGGGGTGTTGTATACTTTGTTGCAAAATGAAATATAAAGCAGTTCAGAGGAGGGGCGATATTAGTTTCTCAGTAAAGTTAGGAGTGAGATCGTGCTAATTTCCCTGCCTACCCTCCCTATAGTGTTTTGACTGTGTATTGCGCTTGTTCTGGTAGGTTTCTTGGTTCTGGTTTGTTCTTTCTTCTTGTTGTCACACCTGCAGCGGTGTTCCTGGCCAGCGCATTGGTAATTGAAAGAAATTTATGAATCAACTTGGGGAGTCACAGCCTGCCGAGGGCTGATGGCGGTAGGCAGGCTGATATGAACTCATGGACAAAGAAGTGGTATCTGCCTGTTGGGAAAAGTCTCTCAACAGCTGGCAGTTGGATGGAAAGCTGGTCTGTGTTAAAATTAATAAAGCTGTGGCCGTTGCCCTTACCCATAACTATTGTGTGGTGTTATTTTTTTTTTTTTTTACATCAGAATATGGTATTTGTTGTTTCATTTCTTGTGTAGTCATGAGTGAAATTATCAAATACCAAATCATCATATGTATTGTTCAATTTCTCTTTCTCTCTCTATCACTTATCTACATACTCCGCTTCCTTTTTTTTATTTTTTCTTCTTTTTTAAACTTAACAATGTTACAATTTTATTGAACAATCAAATACATAACAAACTGACAAACAGACAGCAGACAGACATTTGCTCGGTTCGCGGTGCAACAAAGAAAAAAAAGAGAGAGATAAATTCGCATATCAGGCTCGAAGGAGGCGGTTCGCATTTTTCGTAAGCGGAGGGAAACCATACGGCTAGAGAAAAAAAAAAACAGAAAAGAGAATCCACTAGGAAAGGACAGAGAAAAAAAACCTAATTATCCGGGGTCTAATTTCTTTTTCCATTTATCCCAGTAGGTATAATGATGTCTCTTTTTTGGTGCAAAATTAGTGATGGCCCTTTCCATTTTACATTGAATAATGCTTTGAGCATGGATTTTAGACCAGTTTTCTACCTTAGGAGATTTCCAGCTCCTGGCTATTGATGTTTTCACAGCCATTAAAATGTGAAAAGTAATAGGTCTATACTCTTTATTGATCCCTGTCATATTCATATGTAATAGAGCCATACTTTGAGTTAGATTAATCTTTATTTCCAATAAAGATGATACATATTGGTTTAGTTCCTCCCATAAAGGTCTAATTTTTGGGCAATCCCACCAAATATGTTTGAAATCTGCAATTAGTTCATTACATCTCCAACAATTAGGTGGGGCTATAGGACACATTTTTGCTATTTTATAAGGAGTTCTATGCCATCTGTTTAGTATTTTGTAATGAATTTTGTGTATATTTAAACAGTGGCAACATTTATATAGTGTATTAAGTGAATTATTCCATTCTTTCATAGTGATATCCTTTGCCAGGTCATGATTCCATTTAGTAATTGCCGGGGGGGGGTTGATTTAATCTGAGTTTTATAGATTATTTTTTGACATTTATTAGCCAAGTGAGTATAGTCTGACTGCGCGTATATATCTGAAAGAAGCTTAACTGAGGGTTCAAGAGGGTTACGTCTTAGTAATGTATTTAGAAAGGATTTTACCCTAATATAATTGAACCACTCGTTGGGATGTATTTTATATTCAGTTTGGAGTTGTTCATAAGATTTTACTTCATTTCCTTTCAAGAGATTAGATATTATTTTTATACCTCGCAGAGTCCAGGTTTCCAAATTTATATCTGTCATTAGATCTGATAATGTACTTAGATTTATGCCAGGCGTTATCTTCTTTTTTAAACCAATTTTTTTTTTTTTTTTTAAAAGAGACCAGGTGGGAAAAATTTGTTGAACTATCAACGATTTAGAATTTTTAATACATTGATTTGTTTCTTTATCTATTGCCCATATAAGGGTTTTGTAATCCCTATATCCTGAAGTCAGAGTCTGTTCTCTTTTATACCAATTTTCACTTATAGAGTCTTCCTTATTTATCACTAAGACATGCGCTAATAAGTTAGCTTGTGCAATGTCTTGGATAATTGGAATACTCATACCTCCTTCATCTTTTTTCCTAGACATAATGTTTTTTTTAATTCTGGGTTTTTTGCCTGCCCAGATAAATTTAGTAAATGATGTATGCTTTTAATGTATTTATTTTCCCTTACCAGAAGATTTCCAGAGTTTTCCATTTCTTTAGGTTAAGATTTGTTTCTTTAATAAAAGGGAGGATATTATTCTCTATCCATTTCTTTGGATTTTTGGAAATGTTTATACCCAGATAATTAAAGTAGCTTTTAACTTGTTTAAATCCATATTTATTTTCTTTACTATCAATATTATTTTGAGGTGTATTTAAATATAATGCTGTAGATTTTTCATTATTTATTTTGGAATCCTTAGGTTTCTGAATAGTTATCAGTACATCATCAGCATATAGCTTGATTTTTTGGTTATTGTTTTTACCAAGTCCTTTTATGTCCTGATTAGATCTTATATCTACTGCCAGGGATTCGATCAGGCAAATGTCCAGTGGGCCGCGATGTCCATGGGCCGAGGCCAGCAGGGGAGGTCCCAGGATCTCCCCTGCCGGTCTATGCAGGGCCGGCGCTATCCGAGCGCCGGCCCCGCTGTTTTTCATGAAGGGCCGGTGGGGAGATCAAAGATCTCCCTCACCAGCCCACTTGCTGTCAAATGCGGCCGCCGGCAGGGAGAGAGGGAGGGAGACAGCCAGGAGAGAGGACCCGGCGGAGCTCTAACTTAAAGCTCTGCCGAGTTCCTCTCGCGAGATCCGGCGCATTGCCATGGCAACGACCGGATCTCGCGAGAGTGAACTCTAGCCCCACAGGCTATGCTGGCTAGAGTTCACTCACCACGAGGACCACCAGGGAACACTGCCACCCCGCCTCCCAGTCACCAGTGTGCCGGTCCCCCCCCTCCCAGGCTAAAGGTTAGAAGGGAGGGGGGGACACGACATAATGCCTGCTTAGTTTATTTGTTTATTTACCCCCCCTACACACACACAATCCATTCTAACATTTATACAACACTCTCTCACACCCATCACACCCAGCACTCTCTCACACCCAGCACTCTCTCACACCCATCACACCCAGCACTCTCTCACACCCAGCACTCTCTCTCATCCATCACACACAGCACTCTCTCACACAGCACTCTCTCACACCCATCACACCCATCACTCTCTCACACCCAGTACTCTCTCTCATCCATCACACACAGCACTCTCTCACACAGCACTCTCTCACACCCCTCACACCCAGCACTCTCTCACACCTGGCACTCTATCTCATCCATCACACACACAGCACTTTCTCACACAGCACTCTCTACACACAGCACCTCTCACACCCATCACACACAGCACTCTCTCTCACACAGCACAGCACTCTCGCACACACAGCACTCTCACCCAGCACTCTCTCACACACCAGCACTCTCTCACCCAGCACACACAGCACTCTCACAGCACACACAGCACTCTCTCACAAACAGCACTCTCTCACAAACAGCACTCTCTCACAAACAGCACACCCAGCACTCTCTCACATCCATCACACACAGCACTCTCTCACACAGCACACTCACACCCATCACACACAGCACTCTCTCACACACAGCACTCTCTCACACAGCACTCTCTCACACACAGCACTCTCTTACACACAGCACTCTCTCACACACAGCACACACATCACACACAGCACCCTCACACACACATACTGCACCCCTCACATACACACAGAACCCCCCCAACACACTGCACCTCACACATACACAATACTTCCAAATATATATATATATATATACACATATACACATACACACACTAGATTCCTTGTAAGCAAACACATACTACACCCCTAAACACACACTACATCACCTATATACACACACACACACACACACACACACACACAATATAGCCTGTATGCACACACTTGCTATATCCCCTATACACACATTCTCTACAGCCCCTAGCCACATATGCATCACATTACACCACAAACACAACATGACTAACCTTATTACACAATACTACACCACAATCAGCTCACTCTACACACAGGCAATACCACAAGCAGGCTTCAAACACATGCACAATACTCTTTCCTGGCATTTTTTTTTTTTATTCTTTATTTTTCATGTGCTCAGATTCACAACAAGCGCACAGAGCCACGACAGCTTCTGCACGTATTTACATAACATTTTGCAGTTTAGACAGCACATTTTTTATATATATATAACATGAGGAATACAGGCAGTTAAACATAAAGGTAGTATAGTGTAGCATGCTAGACTGAACGTGCATTTAACATGGCTAGTAGCGCTGGGGTTTGTAAGTCTAAGGCATTGCATTATTAAGAACAACAGCTGTTGTGGTTAGGGTGTGATTTGCACGTTATCAACTGTTACGACATGTCAGCAGCCCTACCGCTAGTGTTAATTCAAACTGAAGGTGTCCCATGAGACAAGACAGGTCAATAACAAGATACATAAGCGGGTATAGTAAATATAGTAGATATTTGTATGAGGGACCATGGTTATAGACTCTTCGGGAGGTGAAATAACAGCATTTTTAAAACCAATTGTTACTTTATGAATAGCTAGCTTGTGGAGAGCAGTTCATAGGAGTAACGGCATAATGTGGAAGTCTATTTATAGCAAGACATGCCTAGCAGACTCCACACTCCTGCTTGTGCTTATCCGATCCCTTCTGTGCGCCTGGTACATACCCCGGGGGCCTCCATCACACAGAACATCAAAGACAAGTGTTCGGCAAAGTGCCAGGTTACCGGCTTATGGTGGGGAAGTTTGTTTCCATCTGGTGGTCGGCACCGTCCCTGTGGGCTGGGCGCCATATATACGGTGCGGTTTTGACGCGGCTTGAGGTGGGTGATTGTCTTGAGGCAGGCTCTGCGTGTCTCCGATCCCTTCTTCGGCGCCTTTTGAAGGGACTTCTAGTGACTGTTGGTCTGTGTCCGCCCCTTGGGCCTATGGGTTCCGGGTGTAGTGGCGCGGGATTAGACCGCTTGACGTTAGCTGTGGTCAGCGCCCTCTCCGAGATCCTGGCCCAGAAGGCAGCAAGGATAGCGTCCAGCTTGATCAGTATGTTATTCAGCTGCTCCCCGCAGTCCCCCCTGTTTGCCGGCTTGCTCGTTGCATCCGCCATTTTGGGGTCGGTGACTCTAGGAGATTGTAGTCCCTGGGATGTGTGAGTCAGCGGAGGGTGTGCTGCTGTTGCCGGGATGTCCCCCACCGGCAGGGGGGGGGGGGAGGAAGGCTTGTTGGTGGTCCTCCGCAGTGTTAATATTGGCTTTTGGGGAGCCCCAGGCTGGGTGATCGGCCGCCTCACCTGCGCCCTTACCTCCACTTAGGCCTCTAGTCAGGCTTGTTGTTGCTGCGGTAGGCCCCAGTGATGCAGCCCGCGTTCTCGGCGGCTCAGCGTTACGGGAGTAGTTTCTGTACGATCCAGCCTGCATCTCCTACCAGGGTGGTGTGTTTTTGATGAGATTGTATCATGAGAACCAAGTTTATTTTGCTTAAACAGGGATTTCAGGCTGGAGCTTGTGTTACACACGTCTGATCAGCTCCACAGCCAGGCTCCGCCCCCTCTTTCCTGGCATTTTTGTCTCCTGGTATTCATTTATAGAGACACCAGAGACAAGTTGCAAGGAAACACAGTGCAAGCATGTTATTAAATTTGCTTGCACTGTGCAGAACAAATACAGGGCTTTTTTCTCATGCTGGAGCTCTTCAGCAGAGCTCTGCACGTGGTCTGCCCTGGAAGAGCATTGAACCAACATGCTCACTTTGAGAGGGGGCGTGTTTGTCACTGGTGATGACAAAACACACCTCCTCTGCCCCGCCCCCTTCTTAGTGGGCCGCTGTGGTGAAAAAATGCCCGGGCCAAATTTTTCTCCCAGTCCGGCCCTGGGTTCAATCGATAATATGTACAATAATGGTGATAAAGGGCAGCCATGTCGAGTACCATTTGAAATTTCAAACCATTTGGACTTAATTCAGTGACCCACTGTTCTGCCTTGGGGATTGCTGTATATGGCCATTATGGCACTGAGTATCTGATCTGAAAATATAAATGATACTATGGACTCTCTGACGAAAGCCCAGTTGACCCTGTCGAATGCTTTTTCTGCATCCAGTGACAGGGTCAGCATGGGAATACATTCCTCTCTTGCCTGTTCCAGTACCCCTATCATGTTTCTTATATGATTAGTGGAGAGTCGTCCCGGAATAAATCCCACCTGGTCTCTATGTATTATATGACTAACTACTCGTTTAACTCTGTCTGCCAATATTCCTGCATATACCTTAATATCTATATTTAAAAGACAGATTGGCCGATAGCTATCTACTTTCTCAGGGTTCTTACCTGGTTTTAATATTGGGACAATATTGCCCTTAAGCATTTCCTGTGGGATTTTAGTCTTTAATATAAATTCATTAAAAGTAGTTTCTAAATATGGAGATATTTCATTTTTAAATAATCTATAGAAAATCTCTGTAAATCCATCTGGTCCTGGCGCTTTATTTGGTTTCAAAGTCTCTATCTGTTTATATATTTCATGTAGAGAAATTGGGGCATTCAGTTCTCTTAATTGGAATTCTGAGATCTTTGGTATTATCTTATCTTTAAAATAATCTTTTGGGTCGAATTGATTATGAGGTAGATTATATAATGAATAATAGTAATCATTAAAGGCCTTTCCTATTCTCTCTGGAGATAAACAGGTCTCACCTTTAAATAAAATTTTGGAGATTTTTTTTGTTTAATTTCTTTCTTGAGTCTGTTGGTTAACAAGCTATCTGCTATTACCTCTATAGTAGAAAGTTGCTTTTAATCTTTCAAGTGTTTTACTTACTTTCATTATTAGTAGTTCATTAATTCTATCTTGTAGGATAGAAATTCTCTTCGACCGCTGCTCGTTAGGGGTTATTTTATTATCTCTTGAGAGATTATATAATTGAATTTGCAAGCTAGTTAAATCTCTTTCTCTATAATCTCTATTCTCAGAGACTAGTTTAATCAATAATCCCCTAATCACCGCTTTATATGAGCACCATATTCCTGAGGGGAAGATCTGTTCAGATTAGTTCTCTTTAAAATAATAATCTGTGTCTTTCTTAATAAATTCTATATTCTTTTTGTTTGACAGAATATTGTTATTTAATCTCCATTCTGGTCTTGGAATTTCAAAGGTGTCTTTAACATCCAGAATGACTGCATTGTGGTCTGACCATGTAATTTCATTTATTATAATTAATTTTGTTTGTTATGCTAAATTAATATCCCCCAACACAAAGTCTATGCGGGAATATGCATAATAAGATTTTGAAAAACAAGTAAAGTCTAAGTCTGTTGGATGAAAAATATGCCAAATATCTAATAACGAGTGATCTTGGATTAACTGTCTGAATTTTTCAGAACTTTTGACAATTCCTCTATCTGATATCTGTCCCGTAATGTTTTTTTTGTCTAATAGTGGCTCAAATACTAAATTAAAATCCCCTAGAATCACCAGGATTCCTTGTTTAACCATGTCCATTCTTTTTAGGACTTTAGTTATAAATGTTAATGAAGAATGGTTTGGTGCATAAAGATTAGCTATTGTATATATGATGCTATCAATCTCACAAACTATTATAATATATCTTCCCTCGATATCTAGTTCTGTATATATATATTCCTGAAATTCAGATTTCTGGATATCAATATAGCAACCCCTTGTTTTTTATTGTGTTCAAGAGATGCAGAAAGGACTGTCGTGTAGATTTTAGATCTTAAGTTATTATTGTCCTTCTTTCTCCAATGCGTTTCCTGTACACCACAGATATAAATTTGCTGTTTCTTCAGATATTTTAGTAATATGGATCTTTTAAATGGAGAATTAAGTCCCTGGGTATTTATCGTAGCAAATATAACCATAGTTTCTAACTAATTCCTTCTCTGAATCATCAAACACCCCCGCCTCGAGCCCACATAACAAAGTTCCAGTTCCATCACAGACCGAGCAAACAAATACACATATAATATATAAAACCCCATAACTATTAGGGTACCAAAGTGTCCCTGTGGGTAACTTACCCAAAACCAGGGACACCAAAGTAATTGCCATTTACAATGGCAACCTGAGCAGAGGTCTGCTAGAGGAGCTAATCTCTTTTTTCCTACATTATGAATTCCTTCATCTGGTCCCCGTCTCTCTTCCTCTTCAATCACCTATTAGTCCTCTTCTCTCACACCTCCTCTCCATCTCCTGCTTGTAAAGCCAGTGTATAATATTCACTCTCTTTTCTTTACTATGTCAGGTCTTATCAATTTAATTGAACGATCCCCTCTCTCCTCGATCCCTCCCCTCCGCCCCTTTCCCTTTCCTCTCTTCTTTCCCTTTCTCTAATTTCAGCGTATTTTATCCGCATGGGTAAGAGAAGGGTAATTAGTGTCGTAGGGCCTCTATTATTATTTTATGTGAATAAACTATGTTTCATAATGTGTTATAAAATATGTGCAAGAATTCTTTTATATCGTGATATCTATATTATTATACCGTTGTATCTCATACTGTGTAAGAGTGAACCCATATTGTAAATTTATTCCCCAATTATATCTTAAATATAGTAAATGTAATACCACTCTTTATATTATGTACCTTGCATAATCCTATTATTCCAAATTGTGATTCTTTTAGATATACTAAATAATTCCAAGATTTTACTATTAACATGACATAAAGTCATGATTTTATTAAAGACACGGAGGCGAGTATTATGCTTCTCTTTCTTTAATTTCCCTCAGCAGCGAAGAGAGATATATGCAAAGAAGCGAGAAAAATAACATAATATTATCATATTCATAGTGCTACCAAAGGTATCCACCCCCTTAGTATATAAGGTGTAGCACTCCCTTCCTCTTGCTCTTTCCGTAGCGATCCGAAGACCAGTCAATAATCAAAACGATGAACTTGAACCGTAACTGGAAACAAAAAAAAAACCTTGGATAGCATCCATACATCCATACTTTATGGGCAAACTGTGGAATTGTCTTCCAAGACTTCAACACTTCAATAGGAGTATTCAGGCTAAAAAGAGAGGAGAAAATATGGTAATATCGTGGTTGTCACCTGATTGTAACATATAGTTCAATGTAGGCAATTATTTGAGTCTGAATATATATATCCTCAACAGTCAAGACGTCATCATACATGATAAGCAAAATTCAAACTACATCCAACATGGTAAACCAACTTACCTGATTGACTCAGGAATCTAATATGAGAAATTTAACAAGTCGGAACCACTTAGTCTTATAACTGTCTGAACTATGAATCCCAAGAGATCCACCCAGGGAGGGCGGGAGGGAATAATACTCGCCTCCGTGTCTTTAATAAAATCATGACTTTATGTCATGTTATTAGTAAAATCTTGGAATTTTATTAAAGACACGGAGGCTCCTATTATGCTCTTTTAAAGCTGAGCTATAATCCTATCTGAGAAATGTTGAATGGGTTTAAAATAAAAATTTCGGAATGTGGACTCTGTAGACCAATCTGCGGCTTTTAAGATGTCTTCCAATCGACATCCTACTACCGATGCTTTGGAGGCCATAGCGCCCCTGACAGAGTGTGGTGTGAAGACCGTGACATCTATCCCGGCTGAGGTTAACAGCCACTTGATCCAACGGGCGAGAGTAGGTGTAGTTACAGGGAGATGTGGTTTCTTCAGTGAAATGAACAAAGGGCCGTCATTAGCTGAACGTAGAGTGGAAGTGCGAGATTCGTATTCCTTCAAGCACAGTATCGGGCATAGACTCGGTTGATCCGGGATCCTCGGATAAAAAACCTGTTTAGTCGATGATTTCGTTCTCCGTGAGATATCGAAAGACACTCCCTCCGGAGTGAACACACGGGCTTGCCAGTCCAAGGCC